CTTAATGATGGAATCAAAGAAAAATTCATTGAAAAAGAAAATTAAAACATACGAGTTTATGATCATTCTTGATTTCTAAAGAAATATCTCGAGATGTAATACGTTTGCGATTGGATTTATGTGTCATATCATCGACTAATTCAATCGTTTCCACAACCTATAGAAAACGTCAAATAAAAACTTAATAATAATAACAATGAATGAATTTACTAAATATTCGAATACACTCGCTAAATAAACAGATGTTGTTGAATAAATATGTTCTGCATACTCACCTTTACGTAAACGAGTTCCAACACATGACTGACAGAAAAATACCAAATTCTATTAAAATATTCAATTAAATAGTTACTTTTAAAAAAAATATTAAATCTAACTAACAGATTTTTTCGAACGATTGATGTTTTCATTCTTTTTTTGATTATTTTTGAATAGTTGTAAGTTTGATTGAATTGTTGTTGGATATTAGTATCCATTTTTTGACTTGAATCTGTCGATAAACCAAGAGTTTCATTAATATTTGACGATGAATATGTGACAGAATTTGTACTTAATAAAATCATATGATATACTTGTTTCAATTGGATTACAGCCGAAGAAAATGGGAGATGATTATTGAATATAAAAAAGGCGAGTGTAGAGTATTTATAAGCAGACAAATGTTTTTTTGTGACCATTAAAATCTTTCTTGTTCTTCGTCCATCTATCTAAGTATTCATCAAAGTAAAATTCAAGGCTAGTCGATAACAATATCTTCTGCATGTAATAGAAAAATTTTAGAGTGAACCTATCTCAAGTAACTTACATGTTTATTATATTTGACTCTTAGATGTTTCATAAGTGCTGAACCTCGAGGAACATTAACTTAAATATTCACAAGGAACGGTCTCCAACTAAATAATAATATAAATAAAAGAAGAGTGTTCAATTTTTCGAAATCGACCAACAAGACTTTTTTCTTTAATTAAAAGTGATGAATGTGTTTGAAATAAAAAAGTATAGCACGAACTAATGAGAAGTTTTTGACATAAGCTACTGCTCAGATGTTCAGTCAGAGTTTATCGTGAACAAGTAGATCAAAATGAACTGAAATACATGGCAGAGAATGTCATAGGATGCTATCCTTCATCCTGCACTATAGCATGCAGAGCATCAAAAAGTTCGTTCCAACATAGCACATCCTGTTGGACAAAGAACTCTTCTACATCTGGCGTACAAGACGATCTGTTTATCGCATTTGGGCAACAATGATCATTCATCACAATAACATTCTAATTGAAAAAGGCTTATT